AAAGTCGTGGCAAAATACCAAATATTTTCTCAGTCCTGAGCAAGCTGGGAGCTCATACACAAGGCAAGAAAGCATTGCATCAACCATCTTCACCCACCCGCCCCCCAGTTTTTACTGTTTTTAATACTTCAGATTATCCACTCCACCATTCTTGCAGTTGTCCTAATTAGGAAGCCCACATCTTGTTCCTTCCTTGAATGTTTGGAGAGAATAGAAGTTACATCCAGTAATGGCACTGATTCAGTTACTCACTGCCTTTATCTCTGAAATGCTCGATCCCGATGAAAAGCAGCCTCTCTCTGAGCATCACAGGCCAAGTCTGCTTGCTTTTCCTGCTCTTTTCTTGCCTGTTTTTCAGCCTGATGAAGAAAAGGGAATAACAAAGCTTAGTATTTTGTTCTCAACATCACCATCCTGTACAGCTGAGAGAGGGTCAAAGTTTACAGAGGGTTTATGGCATCCTTAGCTGAAACTTGGCACCTATCATCCCTCCCCACTTCTCTCCCCAGAAAGGGTAGATGAAATAGCTGAGTGAACATCAGCATTAGCTGCTGCTCTTTGGTGACCTGCCCACAAGATGCAAGAGGACAGCAGTGCATAGTTGAAAAAATGTCATAATGGCACAGGAGAGGATGTGACTGGTCCTTATTGATCTCTTATTACCAGTCCTCACAGTAATCCTCCCTGACTCACATGGGCCAAGTCCACCTGGAAGAGGCTTCTGTTCTACTGCTCTAAGAGGAGGCCCATTAACCTCTGAAATGTGTATTGTGCATTGTCAAGTTTTCAGCAGTAACCTTCTCATTCCACAAAAGATGTACATCACACCCACAGTAACCTTTCTCTCTCTTTCTCTGTCTCACTCCCTCCCCCTTGTCTCTTCTGCCCAAGAGGTCGAGGACTATGGATTTATAAGTGTGCTTCTTTCTGAAGGGATTGACAGTATACAGTTCTTCTGTTCACCATTTGCTGGAGCTGAAATTTCTGTACTTCCATGTTTGCATCACGCTGTCTTTGTTTCTTGGCTTTTTCCATTTCCAAGTAGACGTCATTTTCTGTCATCCACTGATTACGATCCTTCTTACCCTCTTCTTTTTCCTCTCTCTTCTTTTCCTCTTTGAAATTCATCTGTAGTTTACAAAACACAAAAAAGTTAAGCAAGGAGCTGGCCTGCTAAGCTGCAAGTTGTATCTCTCTGAATCATTATCACCCTGATAAGCACGGTCACTGTGGCTGGCCAGTGTCCAAGGCCAGCGCTTTCAGCAGCCCTGGCAGAGGTGCACCCAACACAGAGTCTCACTCCCTCCCCCTTGTCTCTTCTGCCCAAGAGGTCGAGGACTATGGATTTATAAGTGTGCTTCTTTCTGAAGGGATTGACAGTATACAGTTCTTCTGTTCACCATTTGCTGGAGCTGAAATTTCTGTACTTCCATGTTTGCATCACGCTGTCTTTGTTTCTTGGCTTTTTCCATTTCCAAGTAGACGTCATTTTCTGTCATCCACTGATTACGATCCTTCTTACCCTCTTCTTTTTCCTCTCTCTTCTTTTCCTCTTTGAAATTCATCTGTAGTTTACAAAACACAAAAAAGTTAAGCAAGGAGCTGGCCTGCTAAGCTGCAAGTTGTATCTATCTGCAGAAGCAGCCCTGAATCATTATCACCCTGATAAGCACGGTCAGTGTGGCTGGCCAGTGTCCAAGGCCAGCGCTTTCAGCAGCCCTGGCAGAGGTGCACCCAACACAGAAGGGAGAAGGGAGAGGGGCTCCAGGAGAGGTGTCAGCAGGCTTGCTGAAGCCTGCTGATGCATGGCACCAGAGTCACCAGCTATGGCCTGGGCCAGGCTCCTCAGCTGGGGTAAGCAGTGTAGAGTTTGCACAAATTACAAACAATTACAGAGCCTTCCCAGTCTAATTTTTTTGAAGAGAGGATCACCATATATGCTGCTTGCACTTTTCTTAAGGATTTAATTCTAAAACTCTAGATGATAAATGAAAAGCAACTGGTGAGAACCTGCATGTGTGTCTCACTCCAGATGACTGTGCTAGAAACTGGCATTTCCAAACCCTATTCCTATGTACAAGTATATGACAGAAAGAGGAACAAGGACAGCCCTCGTTTCTTACCGCAGTGACTCTGTTTTCTTCAATGGATTCCAGAGCAGCCTGTTTTTTCACTTCTTTCTCTTTACTTTTTATTTGGTACTCAACTTCTACCTCTGCAGCTCCTCTAGCAAGACGATCATCTTCAATCTTAAATTTCTCATTCATCTGTGCATCTAATTTTTCAAAAGCTTTGTCCTTTTGCTTCTCTATCATCCTGCAGGAGAACATGAGCTACTGTAACATCCCAGGACATCCGCTCAGATTACCAGAGGTAATTGCTACCTGTTGCTTCTAATAACACCAGCGATTCTACCTCCACCCCAACAGCACCATTTACTACTGGAACTGGTAGGCATTTTTTCTGCACTTTCTACTCCAAGTTTTAATTACAGAAAACTTGCCTCAAAGTTTTGATCTTGCTGATATAACAACTGAGAATACCGTTTGTCACAAAATGAAATTGCAAGTTTGAATCTTAACACTGAAAATTATCCCTGGACCCACCTGTTAGTCTCTGCATTTTTTTCTCTTGTCAGATCAGCCATCATTTCTTTTCCTTTAATATAAGCCTCAATCTGATCATCATCTTTGTCTTCTTTTTGTTTCTCTTCAGCTTTAAGTATTTTCTGTTCAGCTACATATTCCTGTTTAAATGGAAAACTGTGTTTATTTTCATGTAGAACTAAATTTTGGAAACATGAACTAAAACAAATCCTAGCAAATACTTTAGGCTAGCCAGTAATAAGGAGTTCTTTAAATCAGTGAAGAAGCTACAGAAGATAGAAACCCAGAGATAAAAGAATTTTTATTATCTACTTATCACAAACCACAGCAAAAGTAAAATTAGTATGTGGTTGCGGCTCCAGGATTATAGCATCTTTATATTCTCTCCTCTACATTCCCAGTGGCTCCAACTGTACTGTTCCCATCCTGTGTATCATTCATATGGTGCAGACTCTGAAGGGCTGAACAATAAGTCTGTAGACCATCAAAATAAGGCATTTTGTAATGACTTAGAAATGGCTCTTGTACAGCTTGGCAGTATGTGTAGCTTTTGTTGCACGTACAAGGTTGGGGGGAAATTTGTGTACTTGGGATGAGGAGTATGGAAGGAAAAAAAGCAACTAGGGTTTTAGTGGAATTCTCTCCTTTTACTCCCTCACATGGTAATGAATCATCACAGTACCTCTACTTCAGTTTCCCTGCTCAAGCAGGTATTGGCAGGAAAACAGTATGTGTGGTAAGTAGGTCATCACCAAGTTTATAAGATATTGTCAGACTCAGGCTATTCCCTCTCCCTAACAAAGTAAAATGTACTTAAAACAGAGCAAGTACATGGAACCTAAATCCAGTTCTCAAGTCAGCAAGGACAATCTCCTTGCTGACTCTAGCAGACTTTTCCATTGTAAACCAGTCCAAGCTCAGGTGCCGCATTAAAACTTCCAAGAGGTCTTTCTCAAAAGAGGAAAGACCTGGCCTGCAACTGGCAGGGTAGGCATTTGATCCCAGGCTACTAAAGCTGTCCACAAAGACCTTGTGACCCATAATCCTATTTATCTGTGGGCTGAGTCCAGGCATCACAGTCAAGGTGAAATACATATTTTTAACTGTCTGCTTTCCTGCTACTTACATGATGCTGCCTCCGGAATTCAACTTTTTTCTCCTGATCCTTTTCTTTATCTCTCTGAATTTCCAGTTGGTACAATTGGCTTGATCGCTGTATGCGTTCCCCTTCTCGTCTCTTTTCCAGCTTAGCCAGATCTGCTTGATCCCTGTGCTCCTGTATTCTGAATCAGAAAAGGGAAGTGAATAAATGAGCTAGGGACAGCATGAAGTAATAATGAACAGATATAGATTACGCACATCTATGGGTACTTATCAGCAAAAAACTCTGATACTTCGAAGTAAACCATCAGTGATCAAAACCAGAATAAATTTCTATAAGCTAACACCAAATTGGTTGGCCAAAGCTCAGTTCCAGTCTGAAGGCACTAGGGAAGTCTATGCTAGCAAAAGTGAGCATGAACAGTGTATGGACTGAAATGTTAGACTGGATTTGATTTCCTGTTTCATTGTTATCCCACTCCCTGTACAACCTCCGCCTTTTCCAGCAAGCAGTCTTGTAAGCAGTGCCACAGCACCGGGCAAGACACGGCCATGATGCCCATGCCAGCTGCAAGGGTGAAGGCTTCTAGGCAGGGAGAAGCAGCAATAGTGAGACAAGCCACTTGCTCTCGGTGCCAGAATTGAAACAGTCTTGTTGGATGTGTTGGGATAGACATAACCCCTGACAGCAAGAGACGTTTCTGAAGCTGGAGAACAGAATTACAGAGGATGGGGAAAGGTCCATCTGACCACGAGGTGAGGATGATCCCTCGTTCACAAGCAGTGAGTCACGGAGCCCCGGGCACGGAACGCGGGTCAGCGCCCAAGAGCCGCCCCTTTCGGCGGGCTCTGCAGCCGGGACCCGCCCGGGCCCGGGCTTCCCACGGTAAAGTTTTTAACCCAAACCCTCTGGCCCCACTCCCTAGCCCCGCCGCCGGACTCACTGCGCCAGCTGCTCCTGGGCCACGGCCCGGCGGCTCAGGTAGCGGCCGCGCTCCACCTCCGCCTCCTGCCGAATGGCGTCCGGCCCATCGCGGTCCATCGTCGGCCTTCTTTGTCGCCTCTGTGCAGACGGAACGTCTGCCGAAGGACAAGCAGGGATCCTCACCGACGGCTCTGCTTCCCGGGAAATGGGGGCTCCTTCTCCCGCTCCGCTCAAAGGCGGTGGCCACAAGATCGTTCCGGCGCCGAGGCGGGAATGGCACCCGAGTGGGCGGCGGGCGCTGTGTCGTGAGAGATGGAGCAGCGCCGCGCCCAGCCCGGCCCCGCCCCGGGGAGCTGCGGGCGGGCGGCGTCCGGTCCGTCACACGGAGCGAGGGGAGGGGCGGGGAGGGAGCAGCCATCCCCCAGCCCCGGAGGCCGGCCCATCCTCCGAAGCCGGTTCCTGAACATCTCGTTTCCCTGCGGTGCGTCCGTGCCCGGTAAGAGGCTGAAATGGCCCCTCCGCCTCTGTCCTTCTGCTCCGGCCGCGATCCGCTCCCTCCGGTTCGCCGGGGCCGGGGCCGTGGCGCTCGGCCTGGCTCCGTGCGCTGCCGCGCCTCGCAGGAGCCTTCGCCCCGCCAGGCCTGCCTGCTGCCGGGGCCCGGAGCCCTTGGCGGCCCTGGGAGCTGGATGAGGAGGTCGGGCCTCCTTCGCCTCCCAGGAATTCATCCCTTGCCTTGCCTGGAAAAGACGCCTCGAGGAGGTGGCTGCTGCACCCGGGAAGGACGGCGCCCACCTTACACCCAGCGTTTGTACGGTGTAGGGGAGGTAAAGCCAGTTCTGCTTGGCCCTCGGCTTCCTAGAGGTACCTTGCCTCCGGGGTGGCCTCACATCTTCCTCGAAGCCCTGTGCTTTCTCCAAGGCCTGGCTGCTTTTGGCAGCTAAGCCAAGGAACTTGAGGACACACCTAAGACCCACTTTCAAAACTAAAATATTGGCAAGCGCCCTTTTTTTTTTAAAGACTTGTATTATTTTCTGGTCTGGCCAGCAGAGACTGGCAGCTGTGGGGTGCAACAAAGCAAAGCTTCAGGTTTCTTGGACTTTGCTTCCAGTGGACACCAGGATAGAGGGATACCCTGTTTAAACCCAGTGTACTGCTGGAGGAAGTCATTACAGGAACCCCTAACTTCCAAGGCAAGGAAATGAAAGAAACCTTAGCTTAAGGAGGGAAAAGTCTCTGTGGCTTGGGTGTTGGTGAGTAAATCTGCTGAGGAATCTGAGGTACAATTTTAGATCACATCCATTTACCTATTTAATAGATCACATCTATTTACAGACTGAATTGCTGATAGTCTTTTTGAAGCCCAAGTATGTTGTCTCTTTTTGATGTGCTGATTTTGTAGGCCCTATTTACAGCTGCATTGGGACCTATTTGCCTCTTTGGTGACTTTTTAAGGGCTGGGATCAAATTACATTAATATTTTCATGTAATAAAACTGATTTATAGCATGACATTTGTTTTTCAGACATAGTTGCAAAATACTACCAAAACTGCACATCCTAACTGTTCAAACTTTCACATATGTTCTCTTTTTTTTTGTCCCATGCAGTTGTAACCTGGGACAGTGAATTTTTAGAACAATGAATATTAAAAATAGAAGTAGTGAGCTTTTGGTTGGAATGGGTTACAGTGAGAGTCAATTATATAATATGAATTCCTGTCTCAAGTTTAATAAACTAACATTCATGAGATACAGGCTGGGGATGTTTGAATATAACCAGTTATACAGCAATCTTATTTTTTCAAATGGAAGTCCATATTAATGGAATATATTTTATATCAATAATTTACAGTTTAACTCTGCCTGTGTGGTTGAAAAACATATTTATTTAACTTGAAAATGGCTTCTGCCTTTCCTTGGTGGACAGTTTAAATATTATTTCATATTTTTGTTTCTTGAGCAGCACTACAGCTACAACAAGGTAACTGGGTCCCAACATAGAATTATATGTTTGGAAACTAGTATTTATTTCTTCTCCTCTCAGAAAAATGGCCTATGTCCAAGTCCTCTTCCATCTTCACATGCTTTGAGAAGAGGATAAAGATGATGTGTCGTCTTGGATTCTGTTTCGATTAATTCCTTTGCATATTTCTGAAACTCTTGCTCTTTATAAAGTGCAATAGCCTCTCTCTGAGCATTGTAGTCCAATTCTGCTTGCTTTTCCTGCTCTTTTCTTGCCTGTTTTTCAGCCTGATGAAGAAAAGGGAATAACAAAGCTTAGTATTTTGTTCTCAACATCACCATCCTGTACAGCTGAGAGAGGGTCAAAGTTTACAGAGGGTTTATGGCATCCTTAGCTGAAACTTGGCACCTATCATCCCTCCCCACTTCTCTCCCCTGCCTTATCTCCCCAGAAAGGGTAGATGAAATAGCATTAGCTGCTGCTCTTTGGTGACCTGCCCAGAAGATACAAGAGGACAGCAGCACACAGTTAAAAAAATGTCATAATGGCACAGGACGGGACAGTGATCTGTCTTTGCAAACCAGCCTTGATTTGCACCAGTGCTCTGAGGAAGCTGGTCTCCAACACCAGTGTATGCCAAGCACACATGATTAAAAACAACCCAACAAACAATAAAATCCAAACAAAACAGCAAACTTCCTCTTGATCTCAGCGGAACTAGTGTATTGGTTTAGGTGCAAGCTTATTTCTGAAGAGATTGACAGGGTACACGTTTCTACTTACTATTTGCTGGAGCTGAATTTTCTGTACTTCTCTGTTTGCCTCATCTCGTCCATGTTTTTTGTTGTTTTCCATTTCCAGGTGGATGCGGGCTTTTTCCATTAACGCATCACGTTCTTTTTCAGCCTCTTCTTTCTCCTGTCTCTCCTTTTCCTCTTTCAACTTTATCTGTAGTTTACAAAACACAAAAAAGTTAAGCAAGGAGCTGGCCTGCTAAGCTGCAAGTTGTATCTATCTGCAGAAGCAGCCCTGAATCATTATCACCCTGATAAGCACGGTCAGTGTGGCTGGCCAGTGTCCAAGGCCAGCGCTTTCAGCAGCCCTGGCAGAGGTGCACCCAGCACAGAAGGGAGAAAGGGAGAGGGGCTCCAGGAGAGGTGTCAGCAGGCTTGCTGAAGCCTGCTGATGCATGGCACCAGAGTCACCAGCTGTGGCCTGGGCCAGGCTCCTCAGCTGGGGTAAGCAGAAGTAAGATCAGCCCAAGGTTCTTACCACAGTGGCTCTGTGTTCAGCAATAGATTCAATAGCAGCCTTTTGTTTTGCTTCTTTCTCTTTGCGTTTTTTTTCTTCTTCAGCTTCTTTTCTTGCAACATCTCTAGCCAGTCGATCATCTTCCTTCTTTAGTGCCTCACCCATTTGTTCAGCTAATCGACTAATGATTTTGTCCTGTTGTTCCTGTACTTGTCTGCAGAAGAACATGAGCTTCCATAACATACCAGGGCAACACACCTGGGTCTACCTGAAGCTACCAAACTCAGCAGTTCTGGTTCTAGAGTTCTCTCCTCTTGACCACACAGGCTGGCCCACCCACCCAACTCATGATCTCCTTCTGTTCCTTCTGTTTGGTTTATTTTTATATCATCTGATTTAGCAAGTAAATGTTCCCAGTGTTCTTGTATCACTAGTTTCTCCTGCAGTAATGATCTGGATCACTCAGTAAGGATTCCAGCAAGCACCTTGCCATCAGAAGGGGAATGTTGGCTAGAAGCAGGAAGGGAAGAAAACTCTTTGATTGACTCAGTGGTATCATCACATTGTACCCTGAATGTTAAACTGGTAAAATATCTCCCCTTAAGAACATGATGTAGTTAATTAATGTTTGTGCCTTGTTGAGAAGTCAAATAATTTTTCTTGAGCTGACTCAGAGAAATATAGCTTATACTCAAAAATATTTTCATCAAGGATCTTAATTGTCTTTAATTATTGAGGAGGTGGAGATTTGGCAGGCTACATGGAAAATCACTCTTCTTAATACACTGGTGCAAAGCTTTGCACTTTCATAAGCCTCTGTACTTTGAAAGGTGGAGAGATTGCTCCCTCACACTCTTACTATGGAACCTGTGAAAAAAATTTCCTTTTTCTCTTGAATTCCCTGCTCTCCCTATCAGTAGAATTTAGAATGTGTTAGAATAACTGTTGCTTGTGTTATATTGTTAGTCTAAATGATCTGAAATCAACTACAGTACAATTTTTAGATCATTTATGATTTATACTCTAGCATTGCACCTACCTACGCATTTCAGCTTCTTTCTTTTTTCTCATCTTGGCAATAATTTCCTTTGCTTTAAAATGAGCTTTGATCCGATCATCTGCTTCCATTTGGTTTTGTTCCTCTATTGCTTTGATTATTTTCTGGTCATTTACATACGCCTGTATGGGCAAAATGGTCCTGATGTAACAGAGGATGTTTAGAATACCTGGACCTGGGGTAGCAGCTTACAGGAATCACTCCCTGTTCCCCCTCCTCAAGTTTCTTTCAAAAACAGAAGAGAGAAAAGGGATCCTCAGGAAAGGAGAGAGAAGACAAGAAAGGGATACATCCACTTACTTCTGCCTCCCTATTCAAACATGCATCAAGATGAGACAGTAGATGTGAGAGTGGGGAACTGGAATTGAGCATCAAACAGCTGCTTCTCTGGTGCATTGCACCAACAAATTGCTGAGTGATGGAGAGACCATTGTCCCCTGCTCCCACTGACACACATGGGCCAGGGGAATGGTCCAACTACCACCCACACATGATCATTCTGCTCCTGGCCCCAGTTCATCCAAAACTACTCCTAAGAGCTTAATCCAAAACACAATGGAGAGGAGTTTTCTATACTTTTATGTAAAAAACCAACTGTCTTTTGCATGCTGGCCAGAACTGCTCTGAGGCACTTCTTGTTTGTACCTTAGTAGCATGCCTTTAAAGATTAAATGAGATGGCAGCAAGTCTTGACTAAATCCCAAAACTTCTGCAATCATAAAGTCAAATTGAAAAGATACATTCAGTCCCTGTCTATTCCCTCTTTCTAACAAACTAAAATGGGCTTAAAACAGCAGGAATGTGAAAATTAAATCCAGTTCTCAAGTCAAGGAGGTATTCCTTGATGTCTACAGGCAAAGACCATAGACCAGTCAAAGCATCAAGTGCCAACATCCCTTCAGACAACAGAAGGGAGGGGCCTCCAAGAGGTCTTTCTCAAAAGCACAGAGGAAGGATATGGCCTGCAACTGGCAAGGTAGGCATTTAATCCCAGGCTGCTAAAGCTGTCAGCAAAGACCCTGTTGCCAGTAGATCCCTTTATTTGTGGGCTGAGTCCAGCCATCAGAGGTGAAATACGCATTTTGAACTGTCTGCTTTCCTGCTACTTACGTGATACAGCTTCCGGCGTTCAATTTTTTCCTCGTGTTCCTTTTCTTTTTTTCTCTGAGTTTCTAGTTGGTACAGTTGGATAGATCTCTGTATTTCTTCCTCTTCTCTTTTTTTTTCCTGTTTGGCCAGATCTGCCTGATGCTCACGCTCCTTTATTCTGAATCAGGAAAAGGTGAATAAATTGTCTAGGAACTGCATGAAGTAATGAACTGCATAACTATAGGTACCTTGCAGTGAAGAATGTGATACTTTGAGTTGAAGGTAGGTAGAATATCAAGAAGTGAATAACAGCATGATTGTTTCTAATGGTAGCCCTGGTCAGAAATGAGCTACCTGATATGCTCACAGTTTGCAGTCTTGTGGTGATAAGTTTTAGCTGGATGACTCATTAGCACCACTGCACTGCTAATGCTCTGGCCTGTATCTGCAGCGTCCTTGGAGAACAAAATTTCCCCAGTATGACCCACCATACCTGTGTTCCTTCTGGGCATGCAGGCAGCAGCTTAAACTGGTTATGTTCTATACTAAGTTCTGCAAGAATCTATGTGTTGCACCTGGAATGTGTAAGACCAGACTTTGAACCCTTCCTCTGCCTTGGGAAATTTCATTCCTTCTGTCAGACCAACAGGGCCTGTCCTGTAAATACCACTGGGGACCCTTCCACAAGATTTACGGAAAACCTAAGAGAAGGAATAGAAGTGACAGTAATGCCTTCTCTTGTTGTGCAGTCTGGAATCTCATTATGGGTAAATGGAAAATCTAATTTAACGTTTTCCTTGTCTGGAACAAAAACTGAGTAAAGTACACTTAAATTTCATTAACAACATTTGAACAGTGATTTGACTAAAGCCTGCTGATGCTTCCCAGAGGCAATTTTGCATGTAGACTGTTGGCAACTAAAAACACATATAGCTTTTCCCTTTTGGATGAGATCTTCTGTGATCTTCTTTTAAAAGAATGCCATTTGTGAAACAAATTATTAGCAAGTTTCTGTAAAAGCCTCATAGAATGTATTTTGAGAAGAGTTTAAGTAAATAATGAAGTAGGGTTGCTTTTAATTATTACTTACTGTTGTAACTGATCTTTGCATAGTGCCTGTTTATTCATATAATGCTGACGTGCTTTTTCTTGCTCACTGAGAATGTATTCTTTAAATTGACGTTGCTCTTCTTCATAGTCCCTCTTTTTGCTATCAACTAATCTTGACTTCAGAAATTCAACTTGAGCATCTCTTTCTTTTAGGACCTTAGTAAGTAGAAGTGCGCTCTGCAAGAGAACATTTAAAGTCATTTTTATGTTCAGAAGTCTTTAGAGACATTCAGTACAATTTCAATGTAAAATAGTAAGTTGTCAACAAACATGGAACTGTCTCATTCTGTCGTCCTGATAACATAGGTAGGTTTTTGCACGATCAATAACCTCCTTCCGTTTTGCTGCTTGGAACTTCGCTTCTTCCAAATCAAGTAACTTTCTTTCTTCCTCTTCCTTTTCTTCACGTAATTTTTTGGCTTGAAGTTTCTGTTGTATCAGGCTCTACAGTGCAGAAGAAATTAAAAATCACACTTAAATTGTGGATTGCTTTTTTAATTTGCATTTTAACTTTAAGTAAAAAAACCCAATGTTTAAGTTAGATGTTAAATATATTTAAATGGTATTTAGCTGAAATACATATTCAAAAGCAAATGTCAAACAACTGGAGTATAACTAGAAATGTTACTATGTGTGTTTTTGTATATACAAAAGCGACTACCCTTGTTTCCAAATGTATCTTGTACTTACCAGAGTGACACTGCGTGGATCTTCTTTTCCAGCAGCTTTGGAGTCCAAGTGCACTTCTTCCTGTTCTTTCTTCTCATCCATGTGTGGTGCTTCTCTAATGCTGTCCTGAATCCTTTCCCATTGTGCTTTTGACAATACAGTGACCTGACGAAGATCTGTTTCGTTTGGAAGGAAAAACTCATCTAGAACATCCTTTTCTTTCCAATGATGTGCTGTGCAGAGGGAAGATAAAATACAAAGGTTACTTGATACCAGAAAATCCAATAATCAAACGTGTATCAGGATTTGAATGCTGGCATGGTAGTAATATAAGTTATCCTTAGTGTTACTTAGTCCCCCATCCCAAACCCCAGAGCTAAGACAGGGTATCTGTATCTGTAGTCTACCTACGGCCAGTGCATGGACTTGGACGGGCACTGACTGTCTGCACTGTTTGTACATGCCCTTGCCTGTGTATGTGTGGGGTTGGCTTGTAGTAACACTCTTCCAGGCAGTACTTGGGCATGATTCTTAGAAGAGCAGGGAGCAGAGACCATTCCCAAAATGAACAGGAAAATTGGTAGAGCCATTCTGCTGCCTGCATGAGGCGGCAATTTGGGCACAGATTGTGCCTTCCTGCCATGTTCTGCACACTCATCATATTAACTGAAATAGTTCTGTTGTAGAGCAGTTCTTGATTTCTTAGCAAGACTAGGATTTCTTAGTTGCATTACGCTCACATACGTGTGTGCAGGCATAAATGCAGCTTTTCTAGTTGGCGTCTAGGTTTTGTGAAATGCTCTTTCAAGTGTCACCACCATTTTTGAAGGGAGTAGCACTGTACAGAACAGTGTTCTGTAGAAATTGTGTGATTTGCAGCAGACTAACAGGCCAAGTCTGAAAGGTAAGGAGGCTTTCCCTTAGAGTGACACCGGTGTCAAAGTCTGTTTCCCAGATGCCGTTGCTGACCAGTCTCCCGACAGGGCTCAGACCTGATGCTCTCCCTCTGTCCTAGGTGAAGACAGCCTCATCAGAAGCAAAGGCGCACTGATGCGGCTGCGCCCTGCAGGCAGCAATCTGCCAAGCCCCTCGTTCTTGCCCAGCTGCTGCCCCTGGAGGTTCTGGACCTGCGCTGCGTTCAGGTCAGTTCTCTCCCCTCCGTTCCTAGGGAGAAACAGCCCCTCTTGCCGTCTGCAGCTGGGGGAGCTTTGGGGAGAGTCACGCTGAGCACCCCTACAGCCTCCCGGAGCCTTGCGCCCGCGGGCTCGGCACTGCCCTCCCGCCGGCTCCGCTGCCCGCGGGGCAGCCGCACTCACGGGCGCCGCGCCGCCGCCGCCCGGCCGCTGCCGCCATCTTCCCGGGCCGCGGGGCCGTTGCTGGGGCCGGGCCCCGGGCGCTACCCCTTCCCTTCACGGGCCAGGCCGCGGCCCTGGGCGCTGCCCCCGCGGCTGCGGCCCCGCCGGCGAGGCTGCTCTGCCGCTGCGGCAGTGGCTGCGGGGCCCGGAGCAGGGCTGGCCCTCCCGGGAGGGATCGGCAGGTTCAGCTCCGCTAACGGCTGCGTTGCGTTTCGTTTCGTTGGCTGCTTGGATTTAGTGCGGCCTCGTTGAAGGCACTGGCTCCATCTGTTCGGTGAACGTTTCCTTCCGAAATACCTATTGAGGCGTTTTGCCAGGAGAATTCCAGAATTTGCATTGGTAAATGGTAACGGAGAAATTAGTATCTGCTCAAACTTGTGGTATGTGGATGCAGGAAGATTGATGCTGTGTTAGCAAGTATTAGTAACATTAGCAGCATGAGTTAGATACTGTCACAGTAACTATTTTAAACAGAAGTTGGACACTGAACTTTGGCATTTACAAGTTGCGCTTTTAGCTACAGCACAGCTTCCCATCACGGTAGTGGCCATAAATAGTTTATTTTGTTCCGATGTTTTCTTCCAGAATTTTTCTCTTCTGAGCACAAGGTCAGGGTAGGAATATAGTACTTCTGTTTATATAAATAATTTTCTTATTTGTTTGTTTTGGAAACTATTTTCTCACAGCTATGAAATTTCTGTTGGTTTTTGATTTTGACCATACAATCATAGATGAAAATAGTGACACCTGGATTGTGAAATGTGCTCCTGAAAGAAAACTTCCTAGTGAATTAAGAAACTCTTACCAACCAGGACATTGGACAGAATATATGGGCAGAGTCTTTGTCTACTTGGGAGACAATGGTGTCAAAGAAGATGAGATGAAAAGAACTATGACAACAATTCCTTTCACTGCGGGAATGATAGATCTTCTGGGATTTGTTGGCAAGAACAAGGAGTTGTTTGATTGTATAATTGTTTCAGATTCTAATACAGTATTTATTGACTGGATTTTGAAAGCTGCTGACTTCCATCAAGTGTTTGATGAAGTGTTTACAAACCCTGCAGCATTCAGCAGTACTGGCTATCTTACTGTACAGCACTTCCATGCTCACCACTGTACAAAGTGCCCTAAAAACCTTTGCAAAAGGAAAGTTTTAAAAGAATTTCTAGATAAACAGTTGGAGCGAGGAGTGAGTTATACACAAATTATATATATAGGTGATGGTGGGAATGACTTATGTCCAGTAATGTTTTTGAATAAGAATGATATTGCTATGCCCAGGCAAGGGTATACCTTGGAGAAAAGGATTTCTCAACTGGCCCAAAGTCTCAGTCCTGTACAGTGTTCTGTTCTGGTTTGGTCATCTGCAATGGACATTATGTCTTACCTGAAACTACTTATAAAGGAATGATTCAAATGATAAAAGGAAACGGATAAAGTTACATTTTAACTTATTAGGAGAGAAAAACTGCATGTGTATGAAAGCTCAACATTGTAAAATTGGGCTATTATCTGAAAGTATGGAGCTTTTAACCCCAAACAGAAAACTGCTTATGTTCAATCCTGGTGATAATGCGAAAGTGCAGTAAAAAAGGCCTTCTAACACAGTACAGATTCCAACACAAGTGGAAAAGGGGCATTGGGACAGGACTTGTCATTAGTTTTTGGCTACTCCCTTCCCTCCAACCTTTTACAAGTATATAGCTGGTATATACTTGCAATCCTACACACTTAGGGGAAGGAGTAGGATTCCTGTTCAAAAGAATGAAATTCTTTATTAGAAAACATTAGGTGCCAGGAGCATGCTTCTAGAGCTTCTAGAGCTGGCTTTTATACTTCTTTGATGTCAAATTATTTGCTTGTAATCTTGTTTAATCCAAAGATGCATTTATATTTTCAATTTATTATTTTACCAAACAAAATTACTTTTTAATACTTTGTATTATCTTGTATTGTAAAGACAATAAAAGTTGCTGTCACTGACAAATGCAACACAACTAATTTGTGTCATGTATTCTGCTGCCCTGTGTTTCATCAGGCCTGGAGAAAGTAGACACAAGCGTAGGTGTCAGCCTTTGGCTGGTCAGACCCTTTCTCTTCTGGAAAGCTGTAAGGATGTTGCTTTTTTGTTTAAAGAGAAGTCTCTCTCCCATTCTGACTACTGCCCCGACAGCGTGCTGCTCCCACTCTGTACAGAGTTGACACTGGTTTGATCTTCTGTGCTGACAGCTCTGAGTCAGCCAGATGCCTTTCTTCCTCCTTGCTTTCTGCTGCAGTGCACAGGCTCACAGGATGGTACGTACATTTACATTGTATACACTGATTTTACCTATTCATTCTCATTTATATCTATAGCACAATCTCTTAGAGTCTGGAAGGAAGCATCTATGTCCATTTTCACTTTTAAACAGTTTGTTCTGTCTAAGTAGTTCTAAAGGATTGTTTGTGACCATGCAGTCTTTCTCTTTACCACTAACAGTGAGATGAGCCCCAAGTGTTGGACTGTGCATACAAAGGTATTAAAAGTAAGTCTCATTAAAGTTTAATGTGTTTTCATGCCAAATGTTTTTATTCTTATATCTCAGAAAAGGTTCAAAATGCTGATGTAGTTTGCTATTAAACTGAGGTCATATTTAGCTTAAGTGCTTTAATACCTGAGAGATTAGGCCAACTTTCACAGTACCTCAGTTGCAGATGTCTGAGGAGTAGCTCAGCAGCCTGCAGTTGCCATATCTGTCTTCCTTTGTTTTCTGTGCAATGTTATTTTCCTATAGACATTTCATTATGTCAGTACCTTCTTTTTCCTTAATTGAAGATTTTTGAGTGGTCTTGCCTGTTTTCAGGCTGCTGGTTTACATAAATTTGCCTTGTGCACTTCTTTCCTTGTCTCCACCTATTTTACTGTATTGTGGAAGGTTGCTTTGAACACTCTGTTGTCTAAGATGCCCAAATATACTTCAGTTCTCAGGAGCCTGGCTTTAGTGATGGATATTTGGTAAGTGTCTGAGATGTTCATATTTGGGATCTTGGTCTATTGTTTTACTCAAGGGCACAAAGTCATCTAAGGACTGGTGGGTCTCAGGCTGTGGCAGGTTTAAGTTGTCTGGTTTATAGGTCATACAAAAGATGGTAATGGCTGGTGCATAGGGCAATTTCATATATTACTTTGGGTTTTAAATTGTTGCCATCGTTTGAACCCAGCTGGCAACTAAGTAGAGCAGCTTGTGCACTCCAATCCCCCACTCAGTGGTGAGGAGAATTGGGGAAAAAATTAAACCCTGTGAGTTGAGGTGAAAACAATTTAATAATTGAAAAAAATAAAATATTGTAGTACTAAATTGATATAATTGTAATGAAAAGAGAGAGAAAGGAATGAAGCCCAGGAGAAACAAGTGATGTAAATACAGTGCTCACCACCCACTGCTGGATGCCCAGCCCATCCCCGAGCAGCGATGGGCCCCTCCCGGCCAACTCCCCCGGTTTCTGTACTGAGTGAGCCCTCCCATGCTGTGGAATATCCCTTTGGCCTGCCCAGCTCAGCTGTCCTGGCCATGCTCCCCCCAGCTCCTTGTGCAGCTTCTCACTGACAGAGCATGGGAAACTGAAAAGTCCTTGAATATGAGTAAGCACCACTTAGCAACAACAAAAACAACAGTGTGCTATCAACATTATTCCCATAATAAATCCAAAACAGCACTAACCAGTGACTAAGAAGGAAGTTAACTCTATCCCAGCCAAAACTAGGACAGTTGGATGTTTCCTTAATTCTAGATGTGCTGCTGAATATTCCAGATTCTGTGCTGGTCTCTTCTGTGTTTTTCAGAACTTAGTTATGGAATAGCTTGCTTTGAGTTTGTCCACAGATCTTGGTTATAGCTTGCTTAAAAACCAACAAAAAGTAGTATATCAATGATTACTCAGCTTTTTCTTCCACTTACACTAACTATTGTTCTTTTAGCCTTAAGGGACCTACCTTGTAATTTGCTGTGAGAGTGCGATATTGGATGAGAAATTGTTCTTCATGCTCAAAAAAGGATTTTTCTGTGGCTTCGATTAAAGTGCTGAAGCAGGAGTTGAGAGTAGATAAAGCAGAGTACTTGAAATATTAGCAATTATGTTCTAATCACTTCAAATAGAGGGTAGAGCTGATGATGTCTGCCAGACAAAGTGCATGTTGGAGACAGAATAAATTTTTCAATTCCAGTAGGCAGACCATTAAGCTATTAATCAGGTCTTGTTTGGGCTTTTTTTCCCCACTTAATAAAAGTGAGAACTTTTCTGAAGCACAAAATTACCGAAACTTTCCACGTTTGGTTACAATGGAGGGGAGATGAGTATCTCCAAAGAGTGAAGCTGGTTGAAGCTGGTAGCCCAACCAAAAGAAAGGGAAGAGCTCCTTGAAGTGGGATGCATGTTCAGTACTAAGTGTTGCTGACTTGCTCTCTGCGAGGGAGATGACTTAGGTAAAACTGTTATGAAAAAATGCATAACAGAAATCATATCTGTATGGGAAACATTCTGTATGGGAAAAGACTTCTTAAACTGCAGGTGTGCTGTTGTACACCATGACTATAAGATTATGAGTACTTAGCCTTAGTATTGTGTGCTAGTGCAATAGCCAACACTTCAAAGAAGTTCTTGCTTGTCCATAGGAAGCTGATGAAATGGAAAATGCAACAGAAACAAAGCTGTTGGCATGGGGATGGATAAAGACCTAGGGCTGCACAAGAGAATCTTCTGGATAAAGAAATGGAGTAATGTAGCTGAGGGATAGGCCCGTGTCAGACAGCAGGGCTGTTGTAATTCCTGGGTTACACTACAAAACTCCAGTTCTCTGGGCTAACAATGCATTAAGAGGGGTTGAAAAAAAGGAGGGCATAGATGTGTGTTGGTATGGGGAAATTTTGGTTTTGTGGGTTTTTTTTTTGTTTTGCTTGGGTCATTTTATTTTTGTCTCATGTTACTGTGTAAAGGCCAAGGGACACTTTGAATCCTCGTGCAGGGTTAGCATGGGAGGAAGGATGGCAGACGGGTATGACCATATACACTTTCCTGTTTGGATTTCCTTAGTTCATACTTGTGCTGGGCATTGTGGCAGAAATACTACCAGTAATTAAAAGAAAAATATTATGCTTTTTTATCCGTGTTGAGTGGGAACTATCAAAATTTCTCCTTTTGGGTATTGCTGGCACTTAGCTAATAATAATATTTGCCTCCTTTTGGTTGAAGAAATTACTGGCAGTTCTTTCAATCTCCCTGCTCTGCTAGGGCAGGGAGAGCGTGGCTGCTGGATGGAAAGAATCTGAACCCTGCTGCAGATGGAGGGCCCCAGCTGCTTGAACCCGGAGGATGCTGTGTTTCAAATAAAGAAAATGTGTTGCTAGCAGGAAAAAAAAAAAAAAAAAGACTTCTTAAATTGTGAATCACATTTTCAGGAGTTACAGAAGCCAATATAGCCTTCTTCCTGAAAAATTTACTTCTAGTTGGAATCTGTTAATTTGTTTGGAAGTTGTTAATTTGTTACTGTCCTTTGCACCCTGCCAGATTCAGGAGTTTGGGGAGAGCTGTGGCTGCTCCCTTTCGACTCCTGTTCTCCGGTAATGGGGGAGCCCTTGGAGCTTGCTGCTCTTCCTAGTATCGCTCCTCCAAGCGCCCTGGGTGCGCGGGGCGCCGCTGCGAGAGGCGGCTTTAGGTCGCTGACAGCGGCGGCCGAGGCCCCTCGCTTTGTTGTGTGGCTGAGTGACACCGAGCTGGTGACGCTCCCCAGGCATCTGCTCCTGTCCCTAACACGGCCGGGCCTTCTGTCACCACCGCAGACAGCCTTTAACCCCTGCCCCGGGGTGGGGAGCGCCTGCACGGCGGCGGCAGCGGTTCGGGCCGGACCTTTCCGAGGCGAGCGGGTGCGCGGGGGGGGGGGGGGGGGGGGGCACCAAAATAGGAGCTGTCGCTGCGGCCCCGCTGCTCCCTCCGGCAGCGGCTCTTCCAAAGACGGTCAGGGGCCGCCGCGGGCTGGGAGCCCCCGTAAGCGCCGTGCCGGGCGGGTCCGCAGCCGGAGGGCGGCCGGGCTGTGCGGAGCGGCGCGGACAAAGCGGCGGGAGCTGCGGGGCGCGGCGATGGCCGCGGCCGGGCAGGAGGAGTACGCCTACCTCTACAAGGACTCCGCGCACCCCGCCGGCTTCTTGGAGGCGTTCCGGGCGTTTTACCTGGACGGGCTGTTCACCGACATCGCCCTGCAGTGCGCCTCGGGGGTCATTTTCCACTGCCACAGAGCTGCCCTGGCAGCCTGCAGCAGTTATTTTAAAGCCATGTTCACAGCCGATATGAAAGAAAAATCCAAAAACCAGATCAGCCTTCCCGGGCTCAGCCATGCAGTACTGGAAGCTCTCGTGAATTATGCATACACATCACAGATCCAGATAACAAAGAGAAATGTCCAAAGCCTACTCCAGGCTGCAGACCTGCTCCAGTTCGTGTCAGTAAAGAAAGCCTGTGAGCAGTTTTTGGTAAGGCACTTGGATACTGACAACTGCATTGGGATGCACTCCTTTGCTGAATATCATGATTGCTCAGAGCTGGAGAAAGAGTCCAGAAGGATATTGTTATGGCAGTTTGAAGAAGTGTGGAAGCAGGAAGAGTTTCTGGACATTGGCAAGGAGAAGCTCTCTTATATTCTCTCCAGGGAGAATCTCAATGTTAAGAAAGAAGAGGCAGCCATTGAAGCTGTCATTAAGTGGGTGGCACACAATGTGGAAGGAAGAATTGAAGACATCTGTGAAGTGTTGAGCTGCATCAAATTAGACTTAGATAATGTGTATTTGAGGTCAGCTTTAAGCCTGCAAAAAAAATGCCGACTCAATGACAGTAAGATAAGGTCACTCATATATAATGCCCTGAACCTCAATCCCAAAGGTCTTTCCAGAAGATCCACAGCAGCCATGTATGTAATTGGAGGATATTATTGGCATCCCTTATCAGAAGTGCATGTTTGGGATCCTTT